CGAAGAGGCGGATGGGGTTGATTTTCGGAGTTTCATATTGAGAAGATGGAAGAAAGGGTTCTTTTCAAGGATCGGAGCACGGTCTCTCCTTCACTGATTAACGAATTTATAGATTGACTCGTAATTACTTTTACTTTCCCTCCCTTCACATTTACTGAAAATTACAGTCCCTACCACTGCCTCGGCCTTGGTAACGCCAGCATTGGTTATGGGCAAAAGCGACTTTCCGAATTCGGCAATATCTGATTGGGTGACACGCCGCGGTTAGGATTGAAGCTCTTTCACCATCGGATTAAACGAAAATTTAGGAATTGACGGCGGGAGATGGGGATGTGCTTTTAGACTGACTTTGTAGATTAACTAACTTTTTCGTTTACCAAAATTAATCTACAGATTTGGTACATGTACTTGTAACCCTAAACCCTAAACCCTAAACACTAAACCCTAAACCCTAAACCAAACCCTAAACCCTAAACCAAACCCTAATACACGAACCAATCAATACCATATACTCTACAACAATAACAACACCTTATAGGCTTATACCGTAACCAATCAATAACATATATACTTTAAACCATCAACACCTTGCTCCTCCCTTATACCATAAACTTCAAGACCTTATACTGTATACCAACAACACCTTCTTCTATCTCCATCCCCAACTTTCATTTTATAATAAGTGTTTCCTTTGAAATATAAAATGGAACCCACCTTGGCAATTACTAGCATAATTTAGGGATGTAGATGAATAGAAATTGTTAAGTGATGAATTGCTAAAATTGATGATGTGGCGGTAGGGACCTCGTTTAGAAATTGTTGTTCAATTTTAGGGATGAAGATGATCAATACACTAACCCAATACCATATACTCTAAACCATCAACACCTTATACAATATCGTATTTTAGGGATGGAGATGATCAATACACTAACCCAATACCATGTACTCTAAACCATCAACACCTTATACAATATCGTATACCTATACGCTGATAAATTAAAATTATAACTTGCTTTTCAAAACATAAATTAAAAATTGATACTCACTAAGTATCGAACCACAAACCTCTACTTTATTGACTAAGCAAATAAGAGACAATTAACCAATTAAGCTACATCACATTGATGACCATCTTGCATAATTTCGCTTTCTTATTAAGTGAAGGGTTAAAATGAACGATAAATATATCACAGGGGATTGTTTCAACTTCGGCGGGGACTGAGAGAGTGGAAAAGGGGTAATTATTCTACCAAAAAAGAAAAGAAAAGGGGGAATTAATGAAGAGTTAAATTGGACGGATTGTCTTTACCACGCCACTACAAAATCATTCGGAGCAAAAACACGCAGGTTCAAATCAAACAATAAATGATCAGCATTTATAAGCAGATATAAAGAATTATGTCTAAGTACTGATAAATGTGTCACGCTACAATAATGTCTAAGTTTTTTTAGTAATAAGGCATGATCAGCATTTATAAGCAGATATAAAGAAAATATAAAATCGAGAAAAAATAAGACAACACCTACCCTCACCCTTTAACCAATCGATACCATATGCTCTAAACCATCAACACCTTATAACCTACCCATATACCATATACTCTATACCATCAACAACCTAATACCCTAAGCAGTCAGTACCCATTTCCTTTAACATCAACACCTTATACAACAATCGTATACCTATACGCTGATAAAATTTTACATTTTGAAAATACTTGCCCAACTAAAGTACATAGGTACTTCAAAAGTGAAATTCTAACTTTCGTTTCAAAACATAAATTAAAAAAATATCCTCACTCAGTATCCAACCACAAGCCTCTAATTAGTCTACAAGAGGTTTGTTATGTACGAGTGCATTGCATAAAGAGGGGAAATCGGTGAGAGAGTGGAATGGGATCTCAATTAATGAAGAGTTAAATTGGGCGGATTGTAGTTTACCTCGTACCGCTAAATGTGTAAAGAGACACGCTAGCATTTACCAAATCCCAAAAAAGATGGAACAAAGAATTATGTTTAAATTGCGTGACTCAATGAATGATCAGGATTTTAGAAGCAGAAGCAGATGAAAATAAGTAAAACAAGAATCGCCACTGAGATAGACAATTATCAAAGGCCCAACCTAAAGACAATCCGGAACTCAGTATCTATTATCAACAAACTAGGTGTCATGGGTCATGTACAAGCCCACGTTTGAATGTTATTTAAAAGCCTGCAAAAATCAATGATCAGACCCAGTCCAACTAGAATTAGTCCTAAACGCACCGTTAATACATAAACACAAATTAAGGAGACCTCTCCATCTGATTCGAATCAAATTAGGTCTCTTCATCTCCTTCCCAATCCTCTGGGCGAGACGAACACTGCATATCAGGAAACCTTAATTTCACCGAGTGATAGAAGTTTCGAGAAAATGACAATAACGCTAAGACAAGATGACAAAGCACTAGCGACATGAACCCTAGGGTTAGCAAACCTCTTTCAAGGGTTCTTTTGCAAACGAAAAGTTTGATGAACACAATAATAGACATGGTCGCCGTAATCGTGTTAGAAAGAGATAGGTGAGTAAATTCCCCACGGAAATAAAATGGCGATGAACAAACGTCGATTTGTGGATAAAAGGATTTGGGGTTCAAAACGATGATTATGTGAGGATTTCATATTGGATGGGGATCTTCTCTTCGAATGTGGATACATAGATTTGGCGTATGAAACATGATGATGTTGGGGATTTGAGATTGGATAGGGAGCTAAATCGAATGTGGATCAAATAATAAAAGGATTTGGGTTTCGAAACGATGATTTTGTTGGAGATTTCAGATTTGATAGGCAGCTTATGATCGAACTTCGAACTTAGAGGGACCCTCCAAGGCGAATGAGGGATCGTAGAAGGGAGACTGGAAATTGGTTAGGGCGGCGGGTCGTACCCATAGGGTTTAACCTCTTAATCGATATCATTAAACCGGATACAGTTAGGTTGAAGTCCAATTAATAAAGCATAAACGCTTCGTGATGCTTTTGATAATTTTCCTTGCCCCCGGTTACCCGTACCCCGGATTTTGCCCTGGGATATATATATATATTTTTTTTTGGATTGAGCTAGCTGCATATTTTCCTTCACACAAGCCGACACAACTCTTTGATGTCTTTTCTTTATCTAATCTACAATTCCATTTCTTTTGGTATTTAAAAGATTACGTGCTGACAAGTGACATTTGACAACCACCTGATGATTATTTTATATATTTCATAGCGTAGAACAGGATAATTGTTTTATATTATTCACCTTCTCCTAATCAATGATTATGTTCACCATTGAAGTTTATTATTTACTTCGTTATTTGTTCTTGACCGGTTCCCTCTCTTCTAACTCTTATAGTTACAAGTTTGACCACGTAGCTCCAAACATTGCTTTAACATTTCATTCCAAGTAATTAACCAATTGACCATTCTAGTTATTGAAATTAATTTTGATTATCATTCCTATCATTAGTTCACATAACTATTAGCTTGCTAAAGCACATCTTTTAGAATGATATTATCGTGAAAGATGAAAAGCAAAAGAAAAAGAATTATTTGATACTATAATGGATTCACTCTCGAGTTCATACAATTTTTTCCCCGTTGAATTACAAAATGTATCTCATTGCAAGTGTTTGAGTTGTGTTTTTTGAGATGGTTTCATTCAAATAAGTGGAATTGTGGAATGGTTTTATATAAACATGTGTCTCAACTCTCAACGGAGAGAAAGGAGCTAGGAGAGGTAGGTTTGCACGCTAAAAGCATTAAAAAAAAAACTATAAGCTACTACTAGATTGCACGTGTATAACTACACAAAATGAACACATAAATCCACCATAATAATCTTGAATCGCTATTCGTCGTCCTAAAATTTAAATTTTATCGCCCTAACCCTAATTTCATTTCAGCACTCTGCGTAGCTGCCAGATACACCATCATCACCCACCTAGCATCCGTGGGAGTGATCCTCAAGCCACAATATGAAAACAAGTTTCTGCTCCACTCAGCGGCGGATCTAGGGGGCCGCCCCCGGGCCGCGGCCCAGCCCTCCCTCGATCCAGAGCTAGTATAGCACGTGTAAATTTTCGATTTTTGGTGTTCGTTTAGGTGTTCGTTTCAGTGTTCGTCGTGTTACGGCCCAGCCTTCTCTGCTTTTTTCCAATGTAGCCCAGTGCTCTACCCAATCCTGGATCCGCCGCTGGCTCCACTTCATCTTCTTGGACGTGGTCATTAGTAACTAACTAATTTACCACTTACCACCCTGTCTCTCACTTTCATCAATCTTGCCGAAAAAACCATTAACTCCTCTCTGATTCCTTGCTTTGGAGTTGGCTCTAGGACTAGTTTCCACGGCCACCGCGGCGGCCGGCTGCGTGGCCTACGTCGGCTTGAAGGGCAAGATCCCACCGTCCACAATGACAGCTGCCTAGCTATTATCCTGATTGAAGTTATTGGCATGTGTTTGAGTTGTTGTTGCTGTTGTTATTGGCGTGTGTTTGAGATGCTACGCAAGATGATGATGGTGATGACCACGATGATTGCGCCTCCGGTGAGGTGGTCGGCTCTGGCAATGAGTGGATGTATGTATTTGTTTTAGTGTGTAATTGTTTGAAAGACAAAAAAAAATAAACTAAGGGCATTATAGTAAATTTAATATAATTAGGGCGACGAATAAGGATTTTAGGACGACGAATAGCAATTCCCTAATAATCCCTATGATTGGTCACTGAGATTACAGAAAACGTTCATGTTTGGTCACTCGAAATATTTAAATTCATTCGTGGTCACTAAAATTAGTAAAACCGTCCAAGTTTTGTCACTATACGTTAGTCTCTATTAACCCCGTTAGCACCGTCAATTTTATGCTGATGTGGCTAACGAAAGTGTCTAATCAACCAATTTTAAACCAAAAAGTTTGACACTCGACCCACCACTTCATTAAACCCAACCCGACCCAACCGGTGACCCGACCCGACCCAACCCTTCATCTTCTTCCTCTTCTTTTTGGAGGCGGCAGGAAGTCCAGGAGCCTTCAATGATCTTGTTGAAGCAAGTATAGTTGCCACAAAGAAGAATAAGAAACAAGATTAGAGAGAGTGTTAAAACCATTAATCCTATCCCGTAAACAAATTTGGAGAAACTACTAGAAAAAGTTGTTGAGCAGCGTAGGGGAAAACATAACATTCATTAATGGCTTGGTCTTGGGCATCTTCCCCTGCCTCTAAATCCCTCTCTAACGACTGTTCTACTGGAGAAGAGATTACCTACCCGATTAATTCAGAGGCCGAGCTCGATTTTGTTGTGCGTGGTGGAACAAATCCATGACGTGAACGATGAATCTTCTTCCGAACTTAGCCTCATATCGCCGCTGCCGCCATCCCTCTCCGTCAGGCCGATTCGGAATCCGACATTCTCTTCTCCCGGTCAAGTCGACAATCCAAAAAAGAGGGTTCAACGATAGATTTGTCTTTAATTTTGTCAACTGCAGGGGCATTACGAGAAGAAGCCCAACAACCCACCGTCGTCATCGTCAACTGTCCCGACAAGTCGGATCTCGGATACGATATCTGCCGCATAATTATGGAGCTCGACCTTTGAATTAATCAAGCAGCTACTCCATGAATTGCGACACTCTTGCTCGATTTTGTTTTGGTGTCGGGAGAACAATGGCGGTTAGTTTAGAGATTGGAGGGATGATTGGTAATGGCAAAGTGAAGGCAAGATTTAGGATAATTTCTTTGATAATAAAAAATATTTAGATTAATTTGTCTGAAACGTCAAGAAGAGAGGGTCGATTTGGTTGTTGAACTGGGTTGGGTTAGGTTATATAGTAGTCTCACGTGGCGCGTCGAGTCATATGATGTGGTAGGTTAAATTGGGTGGCCAGACATGTTTGTCATCCACGTCAGTAGAAGACTAATGTCGTTAACGGACACGGACAGAGAGTAACCAAACTTGAACTAATTTACTAATTTTAGTGACCACAAATGAATTTAAATATTTCGAGTGACCAAATATAAATATTTTTTTAAATGTCAATCACCATCCATCCTACCAATACTATATAGACTTTCCGAGGCGTAACATATAGAATTGCAAAATTGGAGCTTCCTGCGCAACTCTAGGAAGGGGCTCCCGGTCTTTTCAAACCAAGCATTTTTTACCTGCAGTTCCGCTTCCCTGCTGCAGTACGTATGTGATTGGCCTCAATATATTCCTTGGGCCTGCTCTCTATTCACACGTTAAGAATTAATTCAAAACTTCAAAAAATAGCGGTTCTTAAAGCATGCAAAGTTTAAGAATTAATCTCCAATTTCCAAAACGAGAAATTATTGGCTACTCCCGGTGTACCACGTCATTTGGCTGACATGGTACTCCCATTCACTAATTGCTTGCCACCTGTTATATTCGATGCTAACAGTGATAAATATTTATTTTTATACCATTTTTGTTCGTTAGCGTCTCTTTCCTCTTTTAATTGTTCCCCATAGTTAATACTTCTCTCTCTCTTTTATTGAGGGAATTGGAAACCGTTCTCTTCTTAATTCATTTTCTCTTTACCTGTAAACAACCCATATCCATCAATTGGAGCTCTTGAACAAAAAATTGAAGAATATAATCATAGCTTAGAAGTGCCCGGAGATGTATATAGGCGCTATAGATTTTTTGGTAGCTTTTGAAAGATATGCTGGATTGTTGACAGCATTGAGAAACAGAGACTACAGAGCGGAGCGGGAATGATCAATCCGAACTCTGGAAACTGATTAATCAATTAAGTTCCAGATCTAGACGAGATTCGAACCAACCACTAATCCACATTAAAACTACAACTCAATCTAGAGCTTTCAATAGATTATGCTTATTCCATAATAAGAATCATCTCCACAAAGTTCAGAACTTCCTCTGTTCTTGACCTCTGTTTTTTTTTTTTTTTTTGCAATGAAAAAAATGTCCCAGAAACTGGAAGCACGTACAACCAGTAAGCTAGCTAAAAATCCCAGAAACTCTATTAGCTTAGGAGCTAGTTCGGATGGAGGGGAGTTGATCAAGAGCAAATGAGCAATCAAGTTCGAATCTGATAAATCGCAGCTTTTGTTTTGTTTATTCCGCTTCAAGCTGACGACAAGAAGGAAAAAAGAAGCAGCGAGTCGAGAAAGATAGATGGGATAAGGCTACTGCATTTTTTCCCCTTTCCTTCGTCAATCTCCAGAGAAATGCAGGAGAAGGTTACGGAGGACGGTGATGAGATTCTAGTGCTTTTGTTTTAGTTCAGAGAGGGAGAAGTGAGAGAAACATAGAAATAAGAGAGAGATGGTGTAAGAGGCGTGTTGGAACTTGGAAGTGGGAACTTAATGTGGAAAGAAGGAGAAGTGGAAAAAGACACGAGAGCGTAACAAAAAAAAAGAAATAGCAACGAATATAACAAGTGGCTAGCAATTAGTGGATGGGAGTACCATGTCAGCAGAATGACGTGGTACACCGGGACTACCCAATAATTTCTCTTCCAAAACATGAGGGGCTGTCATGAGAGTAGATCTGAAAATAATTCATTTTTTTATAATCATCAGTAACCTCCTCAACCGTGGGAGACATATAGCTTTTCTTCCACTTCATTTTAACAAGCTATATCTCCTTTAATTTAATTCGTAGTTCAAAATTTTACACGGAAAAACCATATTAATTATGTTCTTTAAAATTACATCCATTTTTATATATTTTTTATCAAAAATAATTTTGAGATATATATTGTCAGTCTATACCATGATGGTAATGCTTGGTAGTACATAAGATTATACCATGATGGTATAGAAGCGTATCATGTTGGTATGAACATATTATAGAGTAGAATGCATAATTAAGTGGTAGCCAAGGTATTTTACCCACTAAAAGTAATTATATGTTTTCGATGATTCCAGCTCTCACAATGAACTCATTATAAAAAAAAAACTCTCAATGCATAATTTGAATGGAAAATTCCCAATCGACGCTGCCAACAACAAAAATGTAGTTACATCATCCTTCTTTATGAGAACTCATACTTGCTACTTCTTTGACACCAAGATATCCATTCCAAGTAAAGCTCAACAAAGTCTTCGAAGACGTTCAACAGCGGCTGGAACAAAATAGAGGATGGTGTTGGGTGTTAGAGAGGTTTGAGATAATTGATTAGGTAAAAATTTTGTTTACCCTTTAATAATCTAACCGAATCAATAATGTACAAATATGTGCGAAAATAAAAAAATCTAATACGATTTCAACACTAGCTTGGCCGCCACCCATCTACAAAATTAATCTCACGGTTATCCTTCTAACTAAATACATATTACGAGAATAATTAGTAACATTAAAATAAGAACTTATTAGTCTTTCACCAAAATCATATAATGGTATTGTTGAGAATAAAGAAGAGACTATGTGATGGTAAAGATAGAGGTTTTAGTGCCGGAGTCAAAGACACTGGTTTCAGTGACGGAGACAAAGACACTGTTATTAGTGGATATGAAGATGCTGTTGTTGGCGAAGTAATCTCAAAGAAGTGCAAACATTTTACAGTAATTATAATATCGAGGAGTAAGTTGAAGTGTTGTTTACCAAAGTTTTTAGACATTGATTGCCATGTATATGTTTTTTTCAACTTTTGTTAAGGACTTTCATCGACGAATCCAAGAATAATAATTTTATATTGTGTATTTTTTTCATCTATATAATGCCTCGCACAATGACATAATCTTTGCTAAATGAATCCAACCATCGGTCGGGCCCAAATCTAGTACAATTAACCCATAATCCATATGACTCGTTCGTTGTTATCCCTATTCTTGTGGCACTTCCTTTGTTTTGGGTTTGGGCAAATTCCAATATTTTGTTTCGTATTGATTTGTTCCCTCCGCCTAAATATTCTGGTGGTTGGGCCTGGCGGTACGCGGGAATAGCATTAGCCGTTTAGCACAAATCACGGTGAACTGAGTTGGCATCTCCTAAGTGGGACCCAATCAATTGACAGGTAGGATTCAGAAACTCAACATTCATTTCATCATAGTATCATACACTCTAACTTTACTGTATTACCCATTTCGCTCTTGGAAATTACAATTCTGACCGAGACAGGAAAAAACAACTATCAACAAATTAAGGGAATCACTCAAAAGAACATGAACAATAATCAAACAAGTAGGACTTTATCACGTCTATATTCTAATCCTACAAGCACTTTTAAGGTCAAATCTAACCGTAGAACTACCGGACATGGAACTGCCAACCTTACCTTTCATCTTCGAATGGTTTCATACTTCACGTAAGAGAAACACAGAGAAAATTTTGATTACGTTCTTAAGGTTAAAGTGTAAGAATGAATGTGCAGATTAGTTAGACGAAAGGGTGATATGGACAACTTGAAAGAACACGTAAAACAAATAGGATCTAATTAGCACTGGCTCAAAAGTTGAAGGACCATAGTAGTAAAAGAACACTAGAGAGAAAGCTTTCTATATTCACGGGGTTTAGTTTTAATCTCAGGCGGGCGGTTACGAAGAACGTGGCGAGCATGTAGGGGGAACGAAGAAGGAAGGATTTCCATCCAAGCGTCCAAATTCAATCCCGGTAATTGCGGCTTCAGCGATTGAAGGGGAGGAAAAAGGGCAAACTGGACATTTCAACATTCAAAAATAGTTTTACGGTTTCCCGAAACTCCAGACTCCAAAGCAAAAAATCTCGCGCAATTTTCTCTAACAAAAATATTTTCTCCCTTTTTAAATTTCGTTTCTTTTTCCCCTGAGATTTAGTTAGACTGAGAAGGAGGGGGAGGAAGGGTAGAGACGAACAGCAGTTGCTTGCTAAACCCTCTATAGCAAAAGGGGAAGAGAGTTAAAAAAGAAAAAAAGAAAAAAAACTCGCGAGATTGAGTACAATTCACAAGTAGTAGTAGCAGAAGAAGAAGATAGCTTCCAGGGTTTGGTTTTGAAAATATTTTTTTTGCTGGCTTTGGAAGGGAGTTTGGGCAAGTGGGCTTTGTTTTTTTTTAGAGAGAGAAAAGAGAAAGGTAGAGGACGAAGGATGTTAGTAAAGACAAGGAGATGCTGGTTACTATCAATTTTTGGCGTATAATAGGAGGGGAGTCGCTGTCTTTCTTTCGGTGATGAATGGAGAGCTTTGAGAGAATAGAAGCGGCAGCGGCAGCGGAAGGAGAAGAAACAGAGTCCTGACAGGAGAGCAGAGTGTGTTGGGAATCATCAATTTCAGGAGAAAAGAAGGACCCATGCTTTTCAATTGAGAAGCAGAAGAAGAAGCCAGGTGATTTCAAGCTCTGGTGGGTAAATCTTGTTTTTGGTTTTCAATGGCGAATTCTATTTTTTATTTTTTTTTCTTTCTTCTTCTTAAAGTTGGTTTTTCAATGCCCTGTTTTGGCTTTCTTCTTTGTAGAGCTGTTATGGAACAGTTGAGACTCCGAGGAAAACCAAAATTTTGGAGTTCTCTGTGTCTATGTTTTCTTTCTCTGTTGTTTCATTTGGTTTTCGCCTTGCAGAAACCTCGACTTTAATTCCCACAATCAAAGTTTTTTCCTCCCTTTGAGTGGACAGAAAAAGGGTTCGCTCCTCTTCTTTACTTGCTTTCATGTGACTGCTTCCAATTTCAAATGAAACTCATGAGTTTATGCCCTGGAAAGAAAGATGGCATAGCCATTTGGTTCTTCTCTACTGGTTTCCACTTCATTCTTACCTTGAAGGAGAATTTTGTTTCATCTTAATAATTATAATTTCTGATTTCTTGCTAGATACTCGCTCCCAGTTAACTGAATTAATATTCTTGACTTAATTTCTAATTTCCTTTGAAAAGTGTAATTAGTCTCTTGAGTTGAAGTGGAATAAAAGAATGATTTTTACTGTAAAAAAAATTATAATTAACACATGCACATTCATTTTGTAGGCTCGATTGCTAGTCAAGAGCAATAGTTTTTATTTGGGGTTTCAAAAGTCAAAACCAAAAAAGAAAAATCCTTTAATTTTATCTTTTCTTTTTCTTTTGGCCAAGTTTCTTGCTAGCTTGCTGTCAAATTTCAACTTCTCTCCATTTCCTCTTACTAATATTGGTATGCTTTGTTTCTTAGCAACTCTCATCAATTCCAGATTGTTCATAAATGGCAACATATGTTTCAATTTGGCGGGAATGCTAAATTCGCTATGTCACAAGTTTGCCTTCTGATCTAGCCATTCTTGGCCAGAATTTTGCTTAGCTCTTCTCACTTCCATTTCAGCTCAAGAGTTGGGTGGGACACATCCCCCATATTTTTGTTGAAACATGGTTTAAATTTCCTTTTCATTCCCATTGCAAGGATTTTGCAGAAGAAAAAAAAAAATGGATTTCACAGAGTCCACAAAGGCTGTGTACAGCAGGATACAACAAATAGACCCAGAAAACGTCTCCAAGATCATAGGCTACCTCCTCTTACAAGACCAGGGGGAGCGAGAGATGGTTCGGTTAGCCTTTGGACCGGATAATTCGATCTACTCATTGGTTCACAGGGCCAAATCAGACCTCGGCTTGATGATGAACAACAACAACAACAAGCAGCAGCAGCAGCCTGCAGAAGTAGCAGTAGTCCCTCTTCATCATCACTATGCTCCTAATTACTCCGAATTCGTCCCTAACTACTCCGATCAAATGCAACAGTTTTTTACCATGGATGACCCTAATCCGGTCAACTTCTTCTACCCCGAGTCAGGTAGAAGAACGAGCAGAAGGTCGCCCAGCCTGCCTGAGTTTCCGGTCAAGATGTGTCATTACTACAGCAAAGGGTTCTGCAAGCACGGCAGCAGCTGCAGGTACTTCCATCACGGGGTTTCCACGTCGGACATTTTCAAACAGTCGTCCTCTGCTGACATCATGGAGGAGCATAACAATCATGTGGTCTCCCCTGGTTCGCTGGAGAGGCTGGAATTGGAGCTGACCGAGCTGCTGAAATCAAGAAGAGGGGTGCCGGTTTCCATAGCCTCGCTGCCCATGATGTACTATGATAAGTACGGGAGGACACTTCAGGCCGAAGGGTATCTCACCGAGAGCCAAAGGCATGGAAAGGCTGGGTTTAGCTTGACGAAGCTCCTGGCTCGGCTGAGGCACAGTATTCGCCTCATCGACAGGTGGGCAAATTTCGATTGCTTTATAGATGCCATTTTGTACCAACATTGATTGAGTACTGAGCCCGCCATTTGATATTCTACTATTGACTATTGTTGTTAGGCCTCACGGGCAGCACTCAGTGATGCTAGCAGAAGATGTGCCGAAATACTTGGAATGCGCGGCGGGCGAAAGGAATGATCCTGGTGGGATCGTGGCTGGTTCTAAGCAGATATATCTCACATTTCCTGCTGAGAGTACTTTCACTGAGCATGATGTTTCCAACTACTTCAGGTTGAGGACCATTTTTGACGATTGCTTGAAACAAAATGAAACCCGTAATTTTGATTCATTCATCCATGGGTTTCCTTCCTTTTTTTTTTTCTCAGCAAATTCGGCGCAGTTCAGGATGTCAGGATTCCGTCCCAGCAGAAGAGAATGTTTGGGTTCGTTACTTTTGTTTTCGAGCAGACGGTGAAGCAGATACTGGCCAAAGGGAACCCACATTTTGTGTGTGGTGCTCGTGTGCTCGTCAAGCCTTACCGGGAGAAGTCGAGGCTGTTCGATAGGTAAAGAAAAACAACAAATCATATTTGCTTTTGTAAAAGAGATTCCCTGTTACCAAATGATTGATAGGGTTGACATTTTGAGCATATGATTCTCTTCTTCTCTCCTTTACCTTCTGTTGCAATCATTGACAATTTAGAATAGATAGGTGGAAGGGGAAAAAAAAAGTTGGATTCTTTTTTGCTTTTTCCCCCTTTCTTCCTTTTATGCCTTTACCCTCTTCCTTTTACTCACATTATTATGATTGAAGGATGTTTTTGAATGTATTCAAATCAATCTGGACAGGAAGTACTACTCTGAGAAGATGCATCAGTCCATGTGTTACCACAACTCGCACTATATCGATGGAGATTCTGAGCTTGGTTACCCAAGTTTTAGCTCGAGGCTAATGAGGAGGCAGCTCATTGAGGAACAAGAGCAAGCTCTTGAGTTTGAGAGAAGGCGTTTATCGGAGATGCAATTGACCAGCACGAAGACGGCTCTGAACCACCGCTCCTTCTTTGGATACTCGATGGTCGACGAGTTGAAGCTCCCAGAAGGTCTTTGCAAATACTAATCTTTCTCTGCACTTCCTTCCTTCCTTCCCAAGTTATCATTCCAAAACCATTTTCCTTTTCTGCAGGCACTTCAGAAGCGGGTGATTTCCCTTCTGCAGAGCGGCTGAACTACTTGCTAGATGTCCTGAGCGAAGACAAGGTTAGGAATGCTAGTGGGAATTACCACGAACAAGATAGGTAATACAAAATGAGCTCCCCTTTCCCACTCTCATCGAATTTGACAATCAGGCAGTATTGCTTGTTGGAAAGCTTTAACTTTGCACATGGCGTTATGATGAGTAAACCCTTTTTGGGATATGGCTTAACATTTTGGAATTGCGCAATTGCAGCAACAATGTCAATGGTAATGGTGGTGGGGGAGGCCATGGACTTAATCTACCAGAGAGCCCCTTTGCAGCTCCAATAGGGAGTGGGATTTCCACAGTAATGTAGAGAAAACAAGGTAAAAAGCTAGTGGCCTACCTACTTATTATAGAAGATAGAAGAGGACTGAAGGTTGTCAGGACAATATTGATACTACAACAGGACCATTAATAGCACATCCATCCCCTTGATTTTGTGTTCATCTGAGAACTTTGCATGAAGTTGATTCTGGGATGCCTGCGGATTAGCTTGATAGTCTACTCACTCATAGCAACAGAAGAAGAAGAAGAAGCAGAAGAAGAAGACAGTTAGAGGATTTTGTTTACCTTTTTCCCACCATTTCTTGTGGTGGGGAAGGAGGAGATTTGCAGAGGAGAGACATGCATAAGAAGGCTAGAAAGCTAGCGAATATGATTTTACTGGTTAATTATTAATCCTTAAGGAAGCAAAACCTTTTTGTTTTCTCATTAGTCAATGTAATCACAGGAAGAAGTGAAGTAATTAGGGGGGAGAGCCTTAGGAGCTCTTTCTGTCTCTAGCACAAGAATGTAATTACTCCCTTTTTTTATTTAGAAAAGGGAAAAAAGATAATGGTGTGAGGAACTCTTCAGATGAATGACCAAAATGCTACTGATAATAATTATTATACAGAAAATAAACATCTTTCTGTTTCTTGTTTAATGCTCAGTGTCTCATTATTTTATTCCTTTCTCTTTCATTTAGTATATATGTACATTGTTTGCTCCAGTTGCGAGTTTGACAGAAATCGTGCAAGATCGAATCGCGACCGGAAATCAAAATAATGAAAATATTTTAGGCATATTTTAGTTTTAAGTTCTTTAAGTTTTAAAGAATGAAAGGGAATTTAAAGGAAAAATAATTCAAATAATATAAGAATTAAGGAGTCATGATTACATGTGAAGTACAAATTCATAAAACTCAATTGTATTAAAGAACAATTCAAACCAAAATGTTATTTCATCTATCTCAACTCGTTCTAGTATGAATTTACCTGTTGCCATTTGATTTGTCCTTAATTCATTCTAGCATTGATTGAATTGTTGTACATAACCCGAGTTCTAGTAACTCACAAGATATACTTACTTTCATTGTACAAGACCCGCAAATTAGAAATTATAGCAGGCTCAATCATGGCTCCCATAGTGGTTGTGATTTATTTGGTGGGCTGAATCATTGTGTTTAAAGTTTCGTTTCAATCATGAAGAATGAATCATCATGATGCTTGTAAAATTAGTTTGATGAGGATTCTGGCTTTTCTTTTTCTTCAGTATTTTATTTAAAGTGGGAGCTTGATTTGGGTGTTATTTTGGTGGTGATGAAGATGTTTTCATGTGGAATTAGATTGTGATTTCAAATTTTGAAGATTTGTGGATCCCATGCAAAATCCCACTATGCCCATCTGTTAGGGGTTAGAATTTAGATATGAAGACAATTATTCCCCACCCTTTTGTTTTTTTTTTTTTCTTTTTCTTGGTTAGATAGATTGAATAACTTTGGTTAAAGGAAAGATAGGTTGAAATATTTCTTTGCGTTTTACAGCTAAGCTTGACAAAAGTGTTCCCATTTATTGGGGGATGTAATCTATTGAAATCATGGGGGGAAACTGGAAAGGCTGCAATTTCAGTAAGCAAATTAGTGAAATTACCATATTCAAAATGCGTAAAAAGATCATACCGGTCATACCGGTGGTGTCATGCCGGTTTCATGATCGACACAGGTTGAACCAGGTTCAACCGGGTGGCATGCCACCGGCATGACAACCATGGTTTAGGCAAATCATTGCCCACGTGAATTATTTAGTTTTCGAATTATCTGCCAATTGGAACTCTTATATGCCAATTTTAAGGTATTTGTTCAAAGAAGGTGATACCAAAATGAAAGCAGTAGAACCAAAATCGTAGGTCTACAACTTGATAGTGGAACTAAAATAGAAACACAAGCTAGATTAAGTCGAAAAAGTTAATCTGCTAACTTGAAAATTCGTTAGCAGATACTAACTGATATCCAAAATACATTAACTAGTATCCAAGTACTAAAGTATATAGACAGTACAGACTAGTATTCAAGGTTCAAAATAACCGGCCATGAGCAAAAATACCCGGCCGGGTAAAATTCGGAGGAGGCCGGGGAAAAGTGATTTTGGGCGCCCAGAGTCCAGAAGGGGGCCCGGCCGTTGAGCAAAAATACCCGATCGGGTATTCTTGACCTCGATCGGGTATTATCCCCTATACCTGTGCGCTGCGTTTCGAAATCCCCGGCCGGGCACCTGAAATACCCGACTGGGGATCGCGGCCTGCTGGTTTTTAAGGGAAAGAAGGCTGATTTTTTAAGGGTTCCGAGTTTTAGAGAAAGAAAGTGATACCTAGAGAGAGAAAGCGACGAACCAGAGTTCCCACGCTCCTTAGATCGATCTTCATCATCAGTGGAGCCCGGATAACGCTTGGAGAAGTGTCGATTGACGACCAGAAGCAGAACCCCATTCTTCACAGCATGTTTTCTGCTTCTGAGCTAGAGTTTGCTTCTCTCTCCATGGAGTAACTTCCACCTTCACCTGGGTATGAAGAACCCTAGATTTGTATGTTAGGTCTGATTGTATGAACCCAAGTATGAATCCATTGATTTGATTATATTCAATTGAGGTCTGTTTTGTTGAATGACATGAATCCTGATCAAATTCCTGTTGTTTCTGCTTTGACCTAGAAAGAGAGTATCTGCCTAGGTTGATAGAGCACCCTTGATTGAAGGTAGTGAATTGAAGACTTTAGTCGAGGAGTCAATTCACTATTTTGTACCGGATTTACTTCGGTAGAGGAGGTTTGGTTCGTTAGGGCCTCAATCTGTTTACTCCGGTGGAGGTTAGTCGCCCGTTGGGGACTCGGATTGAGAGGGTCTGGAGACCTTTAGTCGAGACTGCAGACTGTTTAAGAACCTTCCACAGTATAACTATCTTTGAATTCGAACTTGGCAAATTACAATCTGGCTTAACTGCAGTCTAGTGGGAACCATATCCGGTTGACCTCTCTCAACTTGAAAACACCCTTTTACTGCTTTGCTTGTTTGTTTACTTGGACCTTCACTATACTTTCACTGCTAAATAATAAGAATTCACGGAGTAGTCATCACACTTAGGACCCGGGTTGACATTAAAACCCAAACCCGCTATACTACGCACTAGTAGGTGGTTGCACTTGGCCATTTTCTAGTGTGACGGTAAAGCCGAGTCACTACTCTCATTGACCCGACCTGTCGTGACCCGCCCCATTCTCGACCCATTTTTTCCTAAATTACATGTAATCTTAGTCAAATTACTTAGGATTTTTTTATTACATCATAATTTAGCTATAATAAAGTTATAAATTAGTGAAACCTCAATTTCTCCAATAATTTAACTACATTTATCATAATATTGTTTGCTTTCTTGATCTTATAATTAAAAAAAAACGAATATTTCTAATGTTTTTCATATAAATTGAATACCCATTGGGTCGACCTACCCCGACCTGGACCCGTGATAAATTACCTGACCTGGACCCGACCTGCCACGGGGCGGGTCTGGGTACCAAGCAACCCACCCCGGACCTGCCCCATTGCCATTCCTACTCTTCAACACTTGGTCCCCCATTTTGAGGTTGTGTGGGACAAGTTTTGAATTGTAGTATCTTGCCACATGTGCTCGTCTGAGAAATCCAAGTTGGCCAGCTGTGTGGCATCGTTATCCTCTTCTAGGAACGCAATGATTCTGTATGTAGGCATGGATGTTTCAATTGAGATGAACGCCTTTGTCCCATAAGTTAGCACGAATGGCATTTCGCCTGTGGCCACCTTGAAAGTGGTGTGATGCGCCCATAGTATAATATGTAACTCCTCTGTCCAATTTCCTTTTGCTTCGTCGAGGCGAGTATGAAGGCCATGTAGGATTGATTTGTTTGCATGGGGGATACGCAACCGAGGCAAATTGCGCTATTATCCCTATTTCTTTCACTTGCGACCCCACGGTGGGCGCCAATTATTTGTGTCTAACTGAGAGTAGGAGGAGATACTGGAGGTTTAGGGCGTGAGTGATAGAACGGTCGCTCTTGTCCTTTAATGAATAACAAGATTACACGGGGAGTGAGGAGAGAATTTCTAGAGAGAGAAGCTTAGCACTAGGAGAGAGAGAGAGTAAAAATCGATCCCCTCGCCCACAAGAGTAAATGATCTATTTATAGGCTTTAATTCGGTGAGTGGGTATTAAATGTGATGAGAAATTTGAGCAAGTGGGAGGTACGGGCTTTATCAGTGATACGACGCCGCTTCGTATGCCTTTCCGTGCGTGTGGCATCTTCTGCCGCTCCATGCCTTCAACATCTTCGCTGCATGCGCCTTTCCTCACACTATTGGCGACGCGTTCTGCCTAACGTGCTATTACCCGCGCCATGTCTCCAACAATTATTTAATCAAATCAAATATAGTTAGCCAACCTGAAAGGTGATTATTTAACATTAGAATGCATCTCCTTCCGCTCATTTACTAGTCTTAGTGGAATTTCCCACTTAAATACTCATTGCAACTTTCACAGTTCATCAATAGTATAATGGGTTTCTTTTAACTCCTTTGATCTACTTTAACTCACTTCCCTTCATTTTTATTATATTTACGAATAAAAAATTTACTTGTACAACATAGATTTATTATAATCGATTTAATGAATTTATAAGGCAAATTCAATATTAAGCATTAAATGAGCTACCTAGGCCTTATTGGGCTAAGCTTTTGGGCCTAAGTGGCCAAACCCCCTATCCCATAGACAGTGGCCAACCCGGCTTGGCCTCCTCACCCAGGAAGGAAATATAGCTCTCAAAAACTAAGTCTGGGAACAAGGGAGACTTGGTAGCCAACCAAGAGGGTACCAAGCCGGACAAGGCAGGCCCGGTGCCAAGACATGAAATTTGGCAAAGTATGGAGCCAATAGAATACCAAGTTGGGAAGGCAGGCTTCGTACCAAGATGTGAAATTTGGTTAAGTATAGAGCCAAGAGGGTACCAGGCCGGCAAGGCAGGTCTGGTGCCAAGACATGAAATTGGATAACTATGGAGCCAACATGGTACCAAGCTGACAAGGCAGGCTTGGTCCCAAGACACGAAATTTGGCTAAGTATGGATCCAACGGGTACAAGGCCGAGAAGGCATGCCTGGTACTAAATCATAAAAATTGGTTAAGTAGGGAGAAAATAGAGTACCAAGCCGATAAGGCAGGCTTGGTATCAAGACATAAAATTTGGCTAAGTGTGAAGCCAAGGAGGTACCAAGTCGGGAGGTTAGTGTCAAGATGTGAAAATTGGCTATGTATGGAGCCAACATGGCACCAAGCCGACATGTCAGACTTGGTATCCAGACATGAAATTTTTCTAAGTATGAAGCCAAGGGGTACCAAGCCAGCAAGGCAGACTTGGTACCAATATGTGATATTTGGCTAAGTATGGAGCCAATAGGGTAACATGCCAACAATGCAGGCTTGATAGCGAGACATGAAATATGGCTAAGTATAGATACCATGACTGCAAGACAGGCTTGGTAGCCATGCAACAGGACACCAAGTCGGGTACCAAGTCATCATGTACATGATGTATAGCCCCATAGGGGGCATATTGAGACTAAGTTCCACGTTGTGCTTGGTGGCCCCTAACGGGGTACCAAGCTGACAGGATGGCAAGGTACCAACTTGATGAGATTTTAAAACTAAGAATGGAAACTAGGCCGATAGGACTAGCTTGGTATAAGGGGGTATCAAGTCAGCGAGACGAAAGGTGTCATGTTGATCACATGAGCTTGGTGGCAAAGCGGAAGGTATCTAGCCAATGAGACATTCCTAGTAGCAAATACCAAGCTGACGAGGAGGACTTGGTGGCAAGTCAGCTAAGTGGTGGGTACCAAGTGGCATTAGACCAACATGGAGGGTGATTTCTTATACAGTCAAGGTGGTAATGGTCTCAAGACAATAGGAGTGTGGAGTCATCCGGGCCGCCGAGGGTATGATCAAGACTTCATCATGGAGGCTAAGGCAAAGAGTCTCAAGGCCATCCAGTCATGACAATGCAACAAGACTCAACACCAACTCCACCCGGCCTCGAGGCCATCAAGTATCAACCAACACCAAAACGGGACAAGGGACCCCCGGCGGTGGTGGAACACCAAAGCAACAGTTACCAACCGGTCACCAAGGTGGCGATGAGGATCCCGAAGCGGTTGGCAATGAGGGGCCAGAGGCGGTTGAGCAACAGGCAAGCTAGCAGTTAGTAGGACGGTTACACATGATGGCTATAAATAGCAAAAACGAAGACCGAAAAAGGGTTCCACAACCAAACATTTGACACACAATGTCAAAAAAAAATTATCTTTTATCTGCAATTTAGTCATAGCCTTTATTTTTCGGAGCTCTCACTGAACCTCCATAAGAGTTGGTGTAATTAACTTAGCTTGTTCCTGAAAAATCATAAAAAAATATCAAACACCCTCGTTCGAAAATTGTTGTAGAGGAATAAACCGTGTTGACTGTCGTCATTCAAAAAATCAAGATGTATTAATTGAGTTAAAACACAAAATTTTCATTTATCACTTAAGAGTTAAAGAGTTGTTTTTTCCGATCGTGAAAAAGGAAAGAGGACAATTATGGATCTTTTGGAACAACATTCTACATTAAATAGACCACATGGGTGTTTGTCACGATATGAGAACAAGAATGGGGATATGGAGCTGATCACATCCACATGGCTCGATGATGTAAACTTCCATGGACAAGAAGGAATCCTATCAATGTCGAATGTGTGACTGATGATAAATGATGAGCATATCATCATATCCAAAGAATAGGATGCAAGGGAAAAAGAATAAGAAGAAGCTAGCATTTCTCTTTGGTTGTTTTTGTCAAGGGAGCCATGCATTGCATGTGGCAACTTGCATGCTGAGCTGCTCACCACGAGTCTGTCTCTTTCATTAGCATGGACGTGTGGTTAGTAGAAACAGTATACGCATTAGTGGTCCTCCAATTTTTGCCGTGATTTCAGAGCTTGACCCTAAGCTGAGGGTCCAGGTCCTTAAAGATTAAAACTTAAAAAGTTTATCTTAATATGTTTTGGTCCATTAGATTGTGGTTAATATAATAACATACTTTAATTATTTTAATACGTTAAAATTAATGGGGATCGGGTATTAGTCATTAACATTTTTTAAATGAACTATTGATGATATAAAATATCATTATTGACTTATGTGAAATGAATTATTAATAGTGTACAACAGTGTTACTAACATCTTAAAATGAGTTAGTAATGCTATACGGTTTGGTTTTTAGCGTTCTTCAAAAGAATTATTAACAGTGTAAATTTTTGTTATTACGCTGTTAATAGGAATTAGTAATGACATACAATTACGTTATTAGTGTTTAATAACATACATGATCCTTAATAACATTTGTATATCATTATCTTTCTTACATAAATTTTTAATGATATACAAACTATATCTCTGTTAATGTTTGTGAAAAGAACTATTAATGAAAAAGCCACATCATGTTCCAAGCGGTCTCGACTTGAAGTTGATGAGGAACGACCCTCCCCACCCACCCAAGTCGAGCCCAGTTTAGGGTTTTGTCGTACAAAGTGGACAAAGCCCAAAAGCATCAACCCATTAGAATCAATGGCCCACTGGCAAATCTTTACTTATTACAAAACAGCACTTCTGAGTTCTCTGACTTTTGAGACTTGGATACCTTGGCCCATATGTTCCCTGTTCCCACTTCCACTTCCAGTCTCAGTTTCCGTGGAATATCATCAGTCATCTCATCACGCACGTCCTTTGATACCCCCTTTGTCCATCTATCTAGCACAATAAAAGCAACAGACATCCGTACTTCCATTGCTGCATATGTATCCAAGGTAAGGTAAGGCAAGGTTCAGTCTTATATTCAGCTTCTGTACCCAGTAGCAGTCTAGCACCAGATCTTCCCCCAAGGTAGGTTAGATTCTGTCTCGAAGCCTGTTTTGTCTGCCTACTGATCCACTTCCAAGCAAGGTTGTTAAACCCTTATCAGACATCTGATTGAACCTGGTCCGACCTAAGTTGGGCTTTAAAACGGTCTTCTAAAAGCCATCGGTCTGATTCCCAAAAAGGGAGAAGAAGGGACAGGGAAGAGAGGAAGAGGAAAATAAGGGAGATCACTACAAAATAAAGAAGATAAGGGGACCAATATAAGGGACGGTTCTTTTATCTTGTCTTAGAAAATAGATTTTTAAGTGTTATTAGGGACAAGCATATTAAATTGTCTTCATGGAATAAGGAATGTAGTTTTATTAATTTCTAATTTAATTTAGTTGTCCCCAGAAAAAAAATACCACGAAAATATTAAATTTAGGTGGTGGGTTTTTAAGCCGCTGATTAATAGGGATTGTTTTTGTCCCCAAAAGTAGGAAAGGCGTGCGTATAGGAGTTCAAGTGATTATTTTGAATTTTTTTCCTTTTAAAATCTTGGAGTTAATTCCTTTTGGTTTTCAATTTTGTCATCAAAATTATGCGAAAGACTTAGTTAACCCTAATATATTTATATTTTTGTTTAACCGATATTACGGTCTCTATATATTAAATTCCTTAATTAATAGTTATCATCTCAATCCTAGACCCTTATTTTATTCCCCTCCTTTCCCTTAGGGTTTCCGTCGCCGCTGCAATATAGTATTCAGTTTCACACCGTCTCAATTCAAAATTCCAGAGATGAGTTGCGGCAATGGTCACCCAACCCGCTTCTTTCCCTTAGGCGTACAACCAGCTTCTGGCGAAGTGGATGCGGCGGGGTCATTGTACAAACCAAAGGGCTCTCTTCTATGATCTAAAATCGCGATCAATCATTGCAGGGGTAGCTGCGTTTCTCCATTCTTGTTTATCAGGTAGATTTCTTCCACCGGATCTATCAAGTGCAAAGCTAGGTGCTTAAGAATTCTCGAAGGAATTTTATGATTATGAAACTCTTATTTATTTTATGTTTCAATTGGTACGATAGTAGTTTTTATGTATTTAATAGTTAACAATTACTTATTTGTATTATTGATATTTACTCTATATTTTTTATTTCACATGAATTTTTGCTTATTGTTGATGTACTTTGAATAATCAATTGCATTTTCGATATAGATATTTACGTTCTTTGCTCTATAAAGGTGTTTAAATAAAATATATTATTACGTGATTAATGCGTTGTCACAAAATGATTCAATAATGACAATCAAATAGTCACATAAGATCTATACAATTTATACAGAGGATAATTCTCCGTCTTCAAAGATACAAGTTAGATGACAACTCGTGGTCCTCATATGAAGCATAAGTGACAATTGTTGTCACCAAAGATGAAGTATAAAAGACCATTTGTTGTCCTTAAATAGAACTTTTGGAGACGATCTATTGACTCTAATTTGACACCTATGGGAACGACATATCGAGCCTATATACATAAAACGGGACATCAAACTATCCCCATAAGGCCACATCACTTTCATGAAATTGATTACTGGGGACAACATTTGGTGCCTACAAATAATGTTTAGGGGACGACATCTTGTCTTTCATAGAAAGACACGAGACAACAACTCGTGAGTATCGGGGACGACTGTCGTCCCCAGTATTAGGGACGACTTAGATTTTTGTCGTCCCCAAAAGAATAGAGGACAAGCGTATAAGGGACGAAAAATTGGGGACGACTTATTCATCCCCAACATTTATAGGGACGATTTTCCCTATTTCCGGGGACGACTTTTGTCGTCCCCAAATCTCCATTTTTTGTAGTGGATGGTGGGTGAGTATGGAGGTTAAGTGGATTTATTTTGTGGAAAATAAGTTTTTAATAGAAATATGTAAGATAAATGTCATTTTAGATATTAAATCTTTAATTATTATCTTATTTATATATATATTTACAAAAAGACTAAAACGGTTCAAACCGACCGGACTCCAATCAGACCATTAAACCTCAAACCCCTTGCTTGACCGACTCAATAACTTTAATCGATTTGACAACCTTGCTTCCAAGTGTCCAGGACCCATCAGTAACTCTAAAAATGAAGTTTATATGGGCGAAAAATGAAAACCTCTCTATAACTCAAGTTGTTTCTCAAGTTGTTTGGAGTAGTTTTAGAATGGATAGATTGAACATAAAGAAAACATGTACGGCAAATCTGACAATATGCTGGGATTGAGTGAAGCAACTGTGCTTTAAGCCGGTGGAAAGACGTGCTTTGAGATGCATAGACAGAGGCAGAGACTAAGCACATAAAAAGACGTTACCATTTTCCGTCTGAGAAGCGACTGTCTCAAATCTCTCAACCACTTCTCACTACACTAAACTGTTACAACAGAGCTCATTCAGACAGAAACAGAGATATAAACTCTCCCCTTAGCCTGAACGTAATTCGACGCAATAGCAAGGCTCTCCCTCAACCTCTCAGACTTCCTGGGTTCTTCATCATTTCACTTAATTCTTCCCTCAGTAAGAAACATAAATGATAAAACTGATAAAAAATCTAAAAAACATATTTGGAGTCAAATATTTGCATAACGATAGCGTCTTTAGTTGAGCCATCCATGTATGCAAGTATTGTACAGTCAATCTAAACATCCACCAACCTCACCATCGTCACCTTCTGTAACAATGTAATGAAATCATAGCCCCGTCCGTAGTGAAAGAACTAACCCTTTGCTTGAAGCAGTTCATCAGGAGTTGCTGCAGGATCCAGATCCCAACAGTTGTCAGGAAGATTGCTTGCCTTTCCGTCAAGAGACCAAGATGGGACCTGGTGAGAGAACCTGAACATCTCGGGCCTTGGGACCCACTTTATCGCATCCTGTCTCTCGTCTCTTTGATAAACGGTCTTGAAACCAAGTAGCTTGATCAATGGAGCAATGCAGACTCCTTGATCCTCAGAGTAATTGTCAAGCACTTCCACCATCTCATAACTGTGCCTCACATCATCCGGCGTTGAGCTGGTCCATTCGGTTGACCAATGTCGATAAACTGCCCAAATCTCACCGCATTTCGGGAAGATCCTCACACATCCACCCCTTCCAGCTTTCTGCCCTCTTAACAGATGAGAAAAGACGTTGACTTTATCAATGGTATCAGAATTCCATGCTCTAAAATGACCACAAGATTTTGTGAACCCATAACTAATCCAGTTCATCGAACCAAACTCTGCATCTGTCTTGGAGCTCAAGTAAGTGATGAGAATCTTGAAGGGTTTGACTGAGACCACCTCACGGATTAAGCAGTACAGTCGAGGCATACCATCATCTTCGTCGTACAATGCCCATATCTGCTTTGGTGCGAAACATTCCTCCAATCTATCCTTATCAAAATCATGGAAGTCGGGATCAGGAACTGTTATACTATGTAGCCTGTTGCTCAGACGTCCAGAGAAGATTCCAGACTCTGCTTTAAGGACCTCAGTTCGCTCCATTTCTTCCAACCTTATTCCAATTTCACACCTCGCCTTCTCAATCAGAAACTTCCTAACATCAAAAGGAGGCAGAACAACAACCGGGGTCGAAGCCTTAGGTTCAGATTCAAGCTTAACATGTGCATCACCAAACCCTAATTCCGATGGAAGTTTGGGATCTTTTTCTTCAAACCCATTTCTAAAACTCGCTCCAACTACAATCTTCCTTCTCTTATCAGGCCTCCCGGCTTTGGTAAGATACCCGACAAAGTTGTTACCTGGTGCACTGGTGCTCGCATTAGCAGCGACACTAGTAGCTGCAGCAGCAGCAGCAGGAGGAGGAGGAGGAGGAGGAGGAGCAGTTTTCGTTTTGTCGTTCGACCCAGGCTTAACCTTCCTTCTATGAGAAGCAATATTTCCATTAACCTTATAAAACCCATCTCCAGATGCAGCTTCATTAGGACATAAACCTCCAGAAGTTCCAGAGTAAGATCCCCATTGAAACGATACATTCGGGACATAATCATATGCATGAGTAGTATACACTGTAGTATTCGTCATGGTAGGGATATAAGAAACCCCATCGTAATTTGGGTATCCATTTGCATTAGGAACATAAGTCCAAGGACTGTAGGGAAACGACCCATTAACTGGAGCTGTACCTGTCTCCACAGCAATGAAAGTACCCCTGCAGTTCTTACAAGAAAGTCGCTTGTTCACATACTTACGAAGGTACTCGTACTGAACTCTGCATGAGGTGCAGACTGTCCAGAAAGTATCGAGACAATGATTTTTCACTGATGTGCTCGCGGCACACTTCTTTTTGAGATCGCACGATGCTCTCTTGAGGGTGTCTGATAACACGGTCCATGCTTCTGAGACAAGTTTGAAGGCACCATCTGCTCCAACTGTTTTGTTCTTGTCAGGGTGGAGCAAGACAGCCAATTTGCGGTACTGTTTTTTCACGGCGTCTCGATCTGATGTGGGTTTTAAGCCGAGGACTGAGTAGTAGTCAACTTGGCCACCATTGCATTTGGCCTCGGATGCCATGTAGACATCGAAAGTGGCGAGCATTTGAGAGATGCCTTCAAGTCCCGGGCAAAGGGATTTGGCCTTGAGTGCATAGTTCTTAGCTGTGGTGAAATCCTTCTCCGCAAATCGTCTCTCAGCAATTTCTTTGGCTTGAATTGCCTCTGCGATGCTTGCTTCCATTACAGGTGATAAGTTTGGATTGAGCGTATAACGAATCTTAGAAGCAGAAGCTATGGCCAGCCTAGCAAGCGTAAATGCTCCAGATGACGACTCCTTCCACCAAAGAAACACATTTCCTTATCTGCATTGCAACAGACGTTTTCTCACAATTAATTTCAAAAGACCAAATTCAAAAGAATTTCTACGAGGGACCAAAGTTTTTTAACAGTAAAGTATGATTCAATCGCTTCTCTACATAAGTTCAACTCATTTTCAGAACGAATTCAACACTCAGTCAAAGCTATTTTTGGCAAATGGGAAATGGAAGCAGAAAAACAAGAGAGTAAACAAACAACAAACAGTACGGATTAGTTTCTTCTCCGGACATGAATATCAAATCAGGGAAAAACAATCAAACCCGGCAATGGAAGAGTGAAAAATTCGAGTTCTAGCTCTCCATTTCCCACAAAGTTTTCTCAGCAAACGCAGCCACAGTCCGCCGCCAAATGTAATCTTTAAGCCAAATGCAAGTAGATCGAAGCTAAATTAAACCCTAGATTAACAGAAAAATAACCCTGGAAAAACTATTTATCGCACTCACAAAAGGGACTCCCCAACAGATCGAAGTCGGGAAATCGCAAACCAGTAACAATTCACATTCACACAAGCAAATCCAAAGTAACAAAATTAAACACAGAAGCTGGACACAAAAATAAGTTGAGGGAGCTCACTGAGATTTAAGCACGAGAGCGAGAAGTGGAAAGCAAAGACCCAGATCGCCACGTGGATTTTGGGAGCTCGAGCAAATCAAGATAGTGACTTTGAAATTGCTGAATCTCACTGTAACTGTTAAACACTCAAACCCACACTGCAACCAACATAAACAATTTGTCCTCCCCTTTTTTCAATGAAGTAGGGAATTAGGGTTTTTGAAAGAGGGAAATGATTGGCAGAATCGGCGGGCTTCCCTGGTCGGGTTTAAAGGTGGGGAAGAAATTCGACGGCGGAGAAGGAAAGGGGAAGAGTGAGAGGTTTCCGATCGCCGATCAAAATTTGGGGGAAAATTTAATAAAAATCATTTTTGATAATTTCAGTGCAAAGTAAACGATGTTAATAGTATTAATGGTGGAGGTTGCTATTTTGCACATTGGTGTATAATGCGCTTTCTTCACCTTTTCAATTTCAATTTTATATTACATTTATTTAAATTTTATATTTATCTTCTTCTTGTTGTATAATTTTACCAAATTCTTACTATCATACTCTCATATTTATTCTTTTCTTAGGGTTTGGTTTGTGGGCAAAATCGGAATTGGCAAATGACTTATTTTCCTCAAATATAAAAGTAATCCATGGGTTTCCTCTTTATTTTCCTTCTGAAAAATAAATTATTTATTTGGTATTGTGTGAAAAGTGGGTTAATTCTCTAAATGTAGTCTATTTTATTATTTACCACAGATATAGCGGTTTTGAAAGTATTGACAGGGATATTGTGTTTTGGAGGGGAGAAATAGTGAGTTCGTCTTACACTCAGGCATATCCGCTTTTTTGGCTTTTTAATTTGTGTTGGGCGGACCCGCTCCAGTCAGAGGCGGATGCGCAATTTTTTTTTAATTTTGTTTGCGAGAGAGGTTGCTCGAGTCTGAGGCGTGTTTGGAGGAGCAGTCTGCGAAGATTCTCAATATTTTGACCAGCGAAGCCGCTTCAGTCTGGGGCAGATTCATTGCCTTGCCCACCCACTCCAACACAATATACACAAGCTATTTCCTTTTAGTTGCTCACCACAATAAATCGATGTTACAAAGCTAAACGAGAGGAGCTTTGTTGGTTGTTGCAAAGATGGCTAATAGGTAAGAGACACCTTTATTTTTTTTAATTATATTATTAAAATGCTATTATGATTTTGTTTAGTTAGTAATTAGTGAATGTGTTTTTATGTAGTGATTTTAGAAGATTTGAACTAGTCGTTCAGTGGAAATCAGAGAAAGAAGAGGACAATTTGGGCGTACATTTTTTTGGTGGTAGAAGCTTTCAACTGATAGTTTCATGCAAGGTGACATATCATCAATTTTGTGAGAATCTAATTACGAGAATACGACGTAAAGATGAAGCAGTACAAGATAGTGATATGATCACAAGTTTCACTTACTGTCTTTCATAATGGCAGAATGGTGTTATATTTCATTATGTGATGCCTATTGTGGATGATGATAGTTTGAATGTGCTTTTCGATGTTATTGCACAAAACCCTTATTGTTTGGGTGCTGAGATACATGCCGAGATTAGCCAAGCTGGTCAGGGTGAAGATGAGACATGGAGTTTGCCATCTGATCATGATTATGACGATGGAGACGAGGAGGAAGATGAGGAGGAAGAAGAAGGGGAAGAAGAGCCTAATCATCCTCCACATTTTTACTTGCAGGCCAATGAATAGGACGACGAATTATCATATGCTGATTCATATGGTGTAATTCCAATGCTTATTATTGTTGGTTTTGAATGAGATTTCTATAAGGGGCAAATATTTCACTCCAAACAAGCTGCATAGGTGGCGATTAAATACTACGCACTACAATACAACTTTCAATATTTCGTGGTTGATTCCTCACCTTCAATTTGGAAGCTCAGATGCTTGAAGCACAAGGATGGCAATTGTGCTTGGATGGTGCGGTTTGGATGTCAAGATGTTGGAAGCGAATGGACTGTGAGAAAGGCCGAGTTGGTGCATTCTTGTAGCAGTACAACTCAACTAACAGATCATCGTCATCTTGATGTCGATGTTATATCTGAGTCCGTGAAGCATTTGGTACGTGCCTAACTAATTTTCGAGTGTCTAACTGTGCAGGTCGAGTTGAAAGATGAGTTTAATATGCAAGTTACTTACAAGAAGGCATGGTATGGGAAACAAAGAGCATTGGCGAAGTTGCATGGAAATTGGGAAGAATCCTACGATTATTTGCAAACATTCTTGCGGGTGGTATAGAGAAAAATGCCAACATCAGTGATTGATTGGGTAAGAGTTCCTTCATCTCAACCAGGTCATTTGATCTTTTGGCGAGTATTCTAGGCTTATGGACGGGGGAGCGGGACAAGAAGATCACCCATTTCGAACAAGAAGAGGTTGAAAACATTGAGAGACGCATGGGAGAGGTACTCTGACTTTTTCCTCCAATGCCCACATCATGGATTTGAAGAACAGTTTCGGATTGAGACTTTCTACGACGGTCCACCAAGAAGCCAAGATTCTCATTGACTCTATATGTCAAGGGAAGTTGATAAACAAGACTCCACCCGAGCTAACCCGATTGCTTGAAAATATGGCAACACAAGAGTATGATTGGATTTTGACGAGAAATGGTGTGAGGGATGCCAATAGAGGAGTACACTCCACCGAAGTAAGTTCTCCACTTGCCGCCAAGATTGACCGATTGATGGATGCTCTTCTTGAATATAAGAAGCAAGGGAAGAAGGCATTGATGGCATGCGGGGGTTTTTTTTTTGGTAGATTGATGGCATGTGTTTGGTGTTCAAGTACCAACCATGAGATTTCGGAGTAATTATTAATGAAGGAAGCAAGCACCCCCGAGGAACAAGTGAGCTTCATCGCTAATGCTAGGGGGAACAACAACCCCTATAGCAACACTTACAACCCGCGGTGTCGAAACCATCCGAACTTCTCTTGGTCTTCCCCAAACAATCCAAGACCCCCCCCCGGTTTCCAATGACCAACGGGGAATTATCAACCAAGGCCTCCTTTCATTCAACAAAGGCCACAATTTCAAGGCTCGAACTTCCAACAACCATTCCAAGTGCAAGGTGGTCAAGGGTACCAACAACAACAACCCTACAAGTTTGCAAAACTTGAAGACCTAGTTATCACCTTTGTGAGTACAAGCTCTCAGAAGTTCAAGAAGATTGGGCAATTCATGGATGTAGCAACTACAAAGTTTTGTTCGGTTGAGGCAGGTCTAATAAGTCATCAAATGAGTCTTCAAAAATTGGAGACTCAAATTGGCAATTTTGTCGGGATCCTCACCGAAAGATCAAGGGGAGCTCTACCTTCCCAAATGATTGATAACCCCAAAGATCAAAGCACCGGTTGCAACGTTATTCTCTTGAGGAGCAGGAAGGTAACTATGAAAGTTGTTGCTAAAGAAGTAGTCGAAGAAGAGAAGACTCCTCCAACGGTCAATGATCAAGAAGGCACAGAAAGAGGGGAAGAAGAGACTAATAAGGCATCACCAACGCTACCACGAGTGGCTGAATACAAGCCTCCTCTTCCTTTCCCGACAAGGGTGCATAAGGACCGACTGGAGGCGGAGTGTGGGAAGTTAATGGAGATTCCCAAGAAGCTCAACATCACCATGCCTTTCTTGGAGGCAATGATGTACTCACGTACATGCCAAGGTATGAAAAATACCTCAAGGGGCTTCTTGCAAGAAGAACAAGCTTGAAGACCTCGTCATCATCACTTTGTGCGAGGAGTGCTCGGCCTTCATCCAAAATCAGTTGCATAAAAAACAACAAGATCCAGGTAGTTTCACTACCCATCTTTGCATTGGAGCATGCCATATAGAAAACTCCTTAGCGGATTTAGGAGCAAGCATTAACGTCACGCCATTTAAGCTTTACAAGAGATTGAACCTAGGTGAATAGAAACAGACTAGGTTAGTATTACCTTGGCTGAGCGTTTGGTAATCAGTCCTAGGGGTATTGTGGAAGATGTCCTAGTGAGGGTGGGCACATTCTATTATCCGACAGATTTCATTATCTTGGATATTAGTGAAGATGTGGATATGCGCCTCATACTAGGACCTCCTTTGCTTGCCAACGCCAAGGCGTTAATTAATGTTAATAAGGGTACTTTACTATTGAGAGACGGAGAGGACAAAATTGCCTTTTCGATTGACACTAAGAGTAAGAAGGATGATGTAAAGGAAATGGAATCGAAGGGTGTGGTTGCAAGTGGTGGTGAGCCCCCGAAGGTAAAACCCACTAGTGTTTTGTTCCTTTGGATGATG